GAAAGGTCTCCTACTCTTCTGTCCTCAGCCTCCAGTGTGTCCGATCAGCTGTGTACGGTTGGAGTGTGTGTACCACGATCAAAATCTTCAGATGGTTTTGCTGCCTTCCTTTAGTAAGCCTCTTTTGAGCTTGTGCAAGTGGTGGTCTCCCTCTCCTCCCATCTGGCTTCTAACTCAGCTAGACTTGAATGAAGGTTACAGCAAAGCCCCTCTGGCACTCCTGGGCTCCAGCACTCCTTACCAAACTGAAGGTGGGGATGTAAAGGAGTTGCTCAAACATCACAGTAAAATTATAATTGATGCTTGCAAACCAGAATATTTTTCCTTTGTATTTGAAAGGAAACTGCAACTATTTTTCTTCACTGGAACTTTAAAAGACACAAAACAGATCCTGAACTGCGCTGGAGCTTGATGTAAAAATCAACAACAAAAGCAGGGCGTGGGAAGCTCTCTGTAAACGGGCTTCATAACAAGAAGTGTGCAGTGTCTTGGCTGCCTTGCCCCGTTAGCGGTCACGTGGAGGTGCTGATGTGTAAAGGGGTTGCGTGGGATGACGCCATTCATTTGCAAACGGGACCCATCTTTGCCATGTCAGTTTAGAAGACTGGAACCGCAGGTTTTCTCTTTACTGCTTAGAAACGTTACAGTACACGCACCTTAATTTTGGCGTGCTTATTAAGGTCAGAGGCTTAATCGCTTTCCAAATGCCCATTGCTATTCTCACATTTTATTAGCTGACACTTTTTTTTCTGTTGTACTGAGTCCATATGGCTTTAGGTCATCATTTTACAGAGGATGTTTGAAATACTTCAGTAATGGGTTTTATTATGCTATGTTATGTCCTGGGCGCTGGGTGCGGGGGTCTGTCTTTAGCAATAAGTATTATACACTATGTGTATATCTGTTTATATATGGGAAACAAGTCTGGAGCATGTAACGATGGTGAAAATACACTGCACAGAGAGCAGATTGTGCATTTGGCAGCCAGTCTGCACCAGCCTGAACAATTCAAATAAAAAATTGGAGACCGCATGAGGAAAATGAACTAGCGTGAAAAATCATTCAGGAGTGAATTTCCCTTTCCATACACACTGGGCCCTTGTGTAACCAGTAGATGAGCCAGCCTTATTCCATGGATTGAATAATTAAAGCTAGTTCAATTGCTGTTTACTTCAAACAGCAGCCTTCCTTTCTTTAAAACTGGCCAGAGCCACCGCCGTCCAGCTGCAGCCATGTGCGTCAGTGTATTGTCACTACACACTCAGAGAGGCAGCAGTGCACTGTTATTAAATCTTCTATGAGAGAAGCAATATACTTTCTTCTGTGATTTGGGTTTTTTTTTTGTTTGTTTGTTTTTGGTTTTTTTTTTATAATAGCAATAATGTTGACTGCATTCTAATACTCACAATAAAGGTCTGTTGAGATTGTTACATGCCTGGGCTCCCATTCAGTGGACTTTTGTTTTGGCGAGCTAGCGGGTGCTTGTATATGTTTTAAAGCATTAGGGAATCTTCAGCTGCATTTGTAGCCTGTAGTCGGTAAGTTACGTGCGGTCACTGGTACTCGTTTATTTGTATACATTGCAAAGCGTAAGGGAACCTTCAGTTGTATTTTAGCCTGTAGGCAAATTATGCAGTCAGTAAATTATTTACAGTACTGAATTACTTACTGTGTGGCAAAGTAATTAGAAGATTTTTCTGTTCCTGAACTGCTTTGGCGCTTAACAATTTCAGGGTTTGAGTTTTGTTGAAAGACAATGCCTTTCAACGATGTTCACAGCAATAGCATCTCTTCTTGTGGGCAGCTGTCTGCCTTCTAAGGGTGTTTCTAGTTTTATGCCTTTGTACAACGTCTGTACAAAATAACTTCAGTTTGCTTTTAGTGATTTCATATATTTTAGTACTGCCTACAAACTCTTGTTCAGGACAGTGTTGTAGTAGGAAAGAAATACAAACGACGCTCGGGAAGGTCCTGTCCTAGATGTCCTGTGGACCAGGGCGCAAATGGTAAGTGACAGGTAAATAAAATCAGACAGAATCCAAATAAGTTACTGACACAGAGAAATTTTTCTGTTCTTCACAGCAAAAATAGGTATGATCTTAAACATGCAAGAAATTTCAGAATTTTAATGCTGAAACAGATGTTTTAATCATTGAATGCACAGTCTCAAAGCAGTCTCTAAAACTGAAGATAAAAGGCCAAATTCACATCTTGGAGTAATACACTGAAACACTTTTTTATAATTAGCGGACTTATTAAAGAAGAGGTTTCCCAAGTCAGACCAAACATTCAGCCAGTCCAGTGTCTTATCTTCACTTGAAATACAGTGTCAGCATCTGTAGAAACATACTGACCATAAAAGATCTGTACAAATTGGTCTTTCCCGTAATGTATCTTTCAATCCTGTTAAACTGAGGTTTCCTTTACCAAAAGCTTTATGAAGACCATCAGTTTTATCAGTCACTGACAGATCTGCGCTCCATGAGGTTAATCCATCTTTTTTCATTCGTTTCTCCCCACAACTTCAGGTGGCATACTGGATTCCACAACCTCGTTGTGTGGCAGAAGGAGTTGTGTTTGTCCTTGAAGTCGCTTTCTGACTCCGTTGACTGTATGCTGTTGCCTTCAGTTCAAAGAAGATTAAGTACTGCATTATCAAAAAGACCAAAAGTCATTTTGTCCTACCAGCAGCAGAAGTTTGGCACCCTGTTGCTGTCCTTGTGTGGTGGCGGTGCCTTTTCTCACTGCGTTACCTTGCTTTTGTCAAACATTGAATCGATTCAGTGTGCAAATCTATCCTTCAGTGTGCAAATCTATCCTTCAGTGTGCAAATCTATCCATCTGGGGTTTCAACACAATCTGCATCCCAGGTGTCATTAGAATAAATATTTTTCTACCTTGCATCAGTATAGTACTATTAGATAGAGGAAAACTGTGTTATCTCCAATGGATAAGTAAGAAAAAAAGCCATTTTACCTATCCTAGAAATGTTTCATTTCTGCAGGGACAAAGGCAAATTCAGATGTTCTTACATGGGCTGCTTTAGGTTCTTTTGCCGCCAAAGGCACTTTGCCAGCTGGTGAATTGTAACACAAAAAATTGGGAAGTCCTCTGCCCGCTTTTCTGATCTAGCCAATTTTAGTATAGAAGTTGACGGAACTTCCCAATCATTCTGTCAATCTGAAGAACGAGTCATGTATGAAGTGACTGAAACTTGTATTAGCTGGTGGGGCTATGCTTTTCTCCTTGTCATCTTTTAATTTTGCATCACACGAGGACTTTTTAAACCTTAATCAGAGATGATAGAGATGATAAGCGCTTCACAAGGTCTTGTTATCGCTATCAGTGCCAAAATCACGTGCAGAAGATTGAGACAAATGTCTCGTGCTTGGGAAGAACTGTACCAAATGTAAAGCATAGTTCTCTATCTGTAAGTGTAATAAGTCGCTAACAAATGGTGTGAGTCTATGATTTTACATAGTTTTCTTAAAAGGTGAGAGAGGATTGTCCAATATTGGTGATCTGTTTAACACAGAAAAGCAGTTTATTATTTAAAACTAAATGAACTAATCGATATGGGCATAATTTGACAATGTTTTCAGTTCTTAAAATTTTTGCTTCCAATTTGCTGCCTCATTCAGAAGGCTCCCTTAAGTTCATTTCTTAAACTAAGGTTGACTTCTCAGGCTCAAGTTTTATTTGGATGAGAGCAACTTTTCTGCGAGTGCAGATGTTTATGTATTCATATACAGCATCATTTATCCTTGGGCTTTTTGATATGTAAAAATTGCAGTTACGCATACCGTCTTTTCTGTTAAGAAAGTGTATATGAAACTGGAACAATGAATAAACGGTCTGCTTCTTCCTTCAGGTTTGCAATGTCAATGTTTCATAACACCAACGTTTTTCTTTCCCCCAACAATTCTAGTCTAGATTGAGTAGCTTTTTGTATAACAAAACCCTCATTTCCAGCACTAGAGCAATGATTTTGAAGTCATGTTAGTTTTAAGGCTATATTGGCCAGAAGGACCTTTTCTCCTTACTCCTTTTCTCCCCTTCCTTTGTGAGCTAATTTAAGATATTCTTCCATCTTTTCTCAGGTGCTAAAAACAGAGGTCAATTCAATTGTCCCTTCACTGGAGGTTATGCAGTGAGGCTTTTCGTTATTTGAATTTGACCAGCCATAGGTAACAAGTGCCTTTTTAATCCACGGGCTATTGCATCCCATTGAACTTGCGTGTATCGAGACACCCATCTTGGTTTGACGCACATCTAGAAGTGGTTTAAGTGACACCAATTGCCAAAACTCACTTTCTCACTTTGTTTTTTAAGAGACTTTTAAGACTTGGCTGTTTTTCCCAACTTACATAGTTCAGAGGTTGTTTTCTGAGTGTTTCTGAAGGAAATAAAAGCAATCTTGGGAATCAACACTATGTAGATATTGCAGATTTGTGCTTCTTTCTGTTAGTAATAGCCCTTTGATACCTTCTTGGTTTCCTGTCTGGCTTACTCCGTTATCAGCTACTAATGACCTTTGATAGCAAAGAATAGAGGAGGAAAGTGAATGGCTACCTTAACGAGCTTGCTTCTCTCCCCATTTGCTGTGCAAGGAACCTGAATGACAATTTTTGACTAACTTCAGAAAAGTGGGCTAAATCAATATCACACACACACCCCCCCCCAGTGCACATGCTCTGGATATGTGTTTCAGCGGCTTGGAAACATCGTTGTGCCTGCAAGCACGGACCCTGCTGCCCCTGGAGAGCCCCTGATGCTGGGCTGGGCTCTCCCTTGTCACTCTCCTGTGACTGCCCCACTGCAATGGGCACCAGACACAAACCTGAGACTCTTGAAGCATACTTGAGTCAGAAATATATGCCATGTTCAGACTTCTAATTGTTTATAATTTGATTTATAATTCAGCCACCCTAGTGCTAATGCTAGCTGTTCTCTGTTTAGTCTGATTCTGTTGATCTGCATGTATGCTTCCCTCCAAATCCTACGCTAATCTAGAAGTTAATTTTCTTTCTGCTTAATCAGGGCTGTTACAGAATTTTTATTTATGCCTTTGAAGGTTGCCTTTTTTGGTCTGTCATCTACATTGGACATGTTCTTCATCTTTTCCCAGTTTGATCTTTCTGCTATTGACTTTCCTCAAGTCCAGAGTAGGTTGCTTTGAAGTCAAATCCAAATACAGTCCTACTCATTTGAAAAAGGCTAGCCATGCTAAAGCAAGATTGTACTGCTGTTTGAAATCACATTTACCATGTATATCAAACAGTGTAGCACTGTAGCGGTCTACGGCCTAGACAGAAGGATGCTTGAATCACTGTTAGTGCAGTCTTGGTCTGTACAGGCGAGTATCAGCAGAGTTGTTTCCAGGCTGCCCTGCCCATGAATCACAAACAAGAGTGCTGCTGTCACTTTTTCCTGAAACCAGCCTAAGGCCATCCTCAAGCATGGGCTTCTGTTATTATTTAGTTCATTCTTCTGGGCCCATTTGTCCAACAAGCTTTGCATAAGTGAGGGTGAGTTCTCGTAATTCCTGGTGCAAATATATGTTAACTGACAATCATAAGAGGTGGGCAAGTGAGAAATGATACTCTGGAAGTAAGGAAATATTTCTGATACATTTTAGGTCAAGGTTCTTGCATGTGATTAGTACCAAAAGACTGGACTTAACATGCTTAATGGTTATACTGGCCTTACACCTGGAGGATGAAGCCCAAGCAGCTAAGCTGCTTCCCATCAGGTACTTGTCTGTATAAAAGCACATGGCACAAGTGGGAGTAAAAGCAAAAGGTCAGCTGCAGTTGACTCTGACCCTCAGTTCCCTTCATAGCCAGTGGAGCTGTGTCCGTCCTGTTTTTCACTTAATAAATAACCACATTATGAATTGTATTTACTCCTAGTGCTGCAGCGCTTGGAGGCCTAAGTTTTGCCTGTCCCCTCAGCAGGCTAGGCTCTCTAGAAACACAAAAAATGTATTTCTAATACAGAGCACAAAGTCTGGTTGCACCACAGTGCAGGTGAGAGCCGGAGCTTTGGCCGGGGCCATGTCAATATGCTCAATTTGCGTTTGATTTAACGAAGCCCCCCCCTGCCACCCCCTGCGCCTGCTGCTGCTGCTTGCTCTCCTCTCCGATGACCGGGCTTAGTAGTGCTCCCTGGAGCGGGGACGAGACCTGGCTGAGGAGAACCACGAGGGCAGTTCCAGGTGAATGGGCCTCTTGTGGTTTTCTCAGAAGCATCATATGCGTCACTCGCCCAATTTTGTGGCCAGTCTACCAGCGCGTAAGTGAACCCCTCCATGCGATGCTTGCTATAAAAAGGCAGGCGAAGGCTACGTGGGGTGTGCAGGGCTGCCTCGCTGACAACAGGGGATGGAGCTCTCCCATCGCAAGATGGGCTCCATCCCATTTTGCACCCTTCTTTGCTGCTTTATTAGCATAGCAGCAGCCAATATATTTGGTAAGTACGCTTGCTCTTTTCCTTTGCCTGTATCCAGTAGTGACTGTGCTCCTGTGGTCTTTGTGCTGCTCTGTGTATTATTCCGACAGAGTATGTAATGATCTTGAATCTTGCACGCTGCAAGTTATTGTGTGCCATGCAAACTGACTTCAGGCTCCAGGTTAAATACGAAGCTATAAGGATCTTTAAATAGTCAGCATTATCTGAGTTCAGTACCCCTGGATTTTGGGTGGAAAAAAAAAGTTCTGGAAGAATAGACTGAGCTAGAGAAGGAGCTTGGGTAAAAAAGGTGGGGCTGCAGGGATGTGAAGGTCCTAAGATTATATCTTCTACTTGCATGTGCCATCATCTGGTTTAGGCTTGAACCTTAAGATACTGAACAATCTGAGTGCCGTCCCCAGTTCTTTGGTCTGAGTTTGACAGTCCTGCAATCTGAATCGCTCAATCTCTTAACTCAGATGTCTTAGTAGACTCTCTCTAGCACTGTGCACAGGGATCTCCACACATCCCAGAGCAACTGGCCCAGAGTCATGTTTGAGATGAAAATGGGGAGGTTTGCCTACATGTGGACGTCTGTAGGTGAGCTAACTCAAAATCCCTTTACAGTCTTGTGAAAATTTTCACATGGGCTTACGGGGACGCAGTAAAAACTCACAGAAACAGAAGTGATTGAGTGATCTTAGGAGCACAGAAATCATCTGTGGTTAAAGAAGTCCCTGAGCTGCAAATTATTGGAGGCTGAAAAGTATTCAGGATACTTAGGATGTATTGGCACTATTACGTGTGGTCACACTCAGATCAAATACTGGATTAAGTGAAGCTCTGGTCTAAATCGCTGTAGCTGTGGTTTTGTTTGATTGCTGTATTTTTATAGAACTAGTCAATGGAATTAAGAGCATGATATTCATCGAATTTTGAGGATGGCGAAAGAGTTAGATCAACTAA